AGGGCGGTTCAGCCCAGAACTGACTGTCACTTCACAGCCGTGAAATTCCTTGCCTTGTGAGATACAAGTAATTTTTTTCTACAGGTATGTTTAGCCCCAAATCTAAGACTTTTCCATTTAGATGCAAACTTTCTCTGTGTGATCTGACCTTAATCTTCATATTCTAATTGAGAGTTTCTCAGAGGCATGTAGTTGACAACAATATACAACCAGTCACTTAGTAATGTTCACTTATAACCTACTGGAAAAAGGGAGCTTACAACCTGGATTCTAAGTTCAGACAGTCGGGGTTCCTCCGTGATCACAACTGTGTTTTATGAATCTTTTTTACACAGCATCCTGCAGTCAAGTAACTGTTTTACAACAATTTTCTGCTCATGGTGAACAATAGGTTTGCATTTACAACCAGTGTTCATTTTCTGAACTGCTGCAAAAAATGTCATAAAATCAGGTTGGTCACACGACTGATCCAATTTACGACCATTATGACTTCAGGCAGGCTCCATTAGGGTTGTACCTCAAGGACTCTCTGTGGCTAGAGACTGGACAGAAGGCAGAGGGGCAAGAAAACCAAAGCTTTCTAATATCAAGCTTGACAAGTCCCACCTCCACTGGGAACAAAACTTGCTATGTATTTGCATCACACTTTTCTACCAGTTTTATTGAGAAAGTGGTGTAGTTAACTTGCTTGAGGAATGCAGTGGCATAAATTTGGCTCCATACTCTAGCTATGTTTCCTTTCACATTCCACAACATGCGTTCTTTCTTCATTTACTCCAAAATCAGCAAAAGGACGTTGGCTCCCTGCATGCCGTTTTAGCAGGAAATACCAGTTAAGCACTGGTAAGTTTCATATTGTAGGAGGAGGACCATACAAGTCCATGGCAGCCAAAAATCAGAAGTATTTCAGTAGCAACTTTTCAGATGAAATAATGTAATGAAAAGGGTAAAGGTTCTGATGTATTGTCTATGGAGATTCTCCGCTAACCAGGCCAAAGGTGCCTTTTCAAGAGGCAAATGGGCTTTGTTTTTCTTTGATGACATTCTGCTTTATTTGCACTACTCAGGTGGCCCTGAGGACACAAGATATATCTCAGGTGACCTCACTGAATCTCTAAAAAGATGCAAATGACCAGCTATCTGCAAGGAATATAAATCCTTCCATTCCCCACTATCCAGTCAGAGCTGAGAAGCTTCTTGGATGAGAAGTGAAAAGTCCTCAAAGAAAAACAAGAAAGTGTCTTAAAAAAGCCCCTTTGAGATGTTCTGGTGTGTTAGTTGTTTCTCTGAATCTTCTGTCAGTTATTAAATATGGCAACTCTTAAAATTCTTAAGGGGGCTGATTTTTAAAAAGCTAAATGTTCATAGATTTAAATAGTAATGAGGTTACATAGAAATTAACAGGAAGGAATGCACAATTCATGTTATCTTCTTGCTTTATGATCCTACCAAATTTTAAAGTGAGGAAAGGATGTTCTCTCCCTTTATTTATTAATCTAGACATTAAGTATTTTTTGCTTCCTGGAAATCGCTTCAAAAAATTCTTCCTCTTTTGTTTTTTTTTTTAATCTTCACATTTTAAAATTACTGTAAAAATGCTTAATTGTGATAATTATTTCATTAAGTTCAAAAAAGATGATTTTTCAAATTGTGTACAGCAATTTATAATTATTCATTTAGGGATCGTTCAAAGTTACGGCACTTAAAAAAGTGATTTGCAACAGTTCCCCTCGTGATCATGTGATCGAAATTTGGGCACTTGGCAACCAACATGTATTTACAATGGCTGCAGCATCCTGGGGTCCTGTGATCATCATTCTGACCTTCCCAACTGGCTTCCAACAAGCAAAGTCAGTGAGGGGAGCCAGATTTGCTTAATGGCCACATGATTCGCTTAAGAACTATGGCAAAAGAAGTAATAAAATTGGGTGTGACTCTCTTAACAACTACCTTGCTTAGCAACCAAAATTCTGTTCTCAGTTGTAACCCGAGGACTACCTGTGTGTGCCTGTGTTGTGTGTGCATCTATGTATATAGAGAGTATTTAAACCGTTGGCTTCTGATTATGATGACAACTATGAACCAGAAAACGTGGCAGCTT